TCAAACAATGCTACCTTGTTGGATCCTGGAGTCATGCCATCTCTGTGGTTGCATCTGTATTATGGAACAGCATTGCCCTGAGATCTAGATGATCCTAACCCTTTTGTTCCCCCAGACATCTAGGCCAGGAGATTAGTAAACTCTGCTGGCGATGTGACTTTTTACTGGGGGCTTCATTTAACCAGGGCATCATGGGTTACACAATATGTTGTGGTAGTGGCTTTAATCTTTGTGCATGGCACAGAGTCACTGCTGAGAGATGGGTGGCTCCATAAATCACTTAAATAGATAAATAAAATAAAACCAATTTGCCCAGTATTCATCATTTTCTAGTTTTAGAAAACACACACACACACACACACACAAAACCAAATGAGATTGAGTCCTTATGTGAGAATTTTGCACACACGCAAAATCAACCCGAATTAGAGAATGTGAGTTTCTTCCCATCTCTGAGACACTTTACTCAGGAATAGAAAAAAAGCTAACTCATCAATAATCTGGCTTTCTCTTCCTATGTAATAGGGGATTAAAATTGCAATTGCCCCAAGTGCCACATGAGGGTTAGTTCATTAGCCAGAGGCCACAACACTGATATGTTTTCATAGATTGATACAAATACTCTAGTTAGTAAAAATGAAGAAAATAAAGAGCATCATGACATGCCATTAAACATACTTTCATTAAATTAAAACTCCAACTCTACTCTAAGTCACATGCAACAAAAGTTACCCATGTAAGTGAAGCTCCTACCAGAAGATGAAGGGGGAGTGGGGAGTGATGGAGAGTGGCTCCTTTGCTGTTGCTAGATCTTCCATCCCACAGGGATTGTAAAGCTGACAGCAGAAGACTTGCTTCTCCCTTCCTTGTGGGAAAGTGGATCTTCCTACAAGGGAAAACTGGCACTGAAAAGGCCCACCCACCTCCTTCTCTTTTCCACACTCCCATGAGCCGCCCAGAGTCACCCTCTGGGGAGGTGGGTGGCATATACATTTAATAAACAAACAAATGTCAAGTATACTGAAGGTGCAGGAGGGTTAGGCAGGTGCAGTACCAAAACCATGGGGGTTTTATCATCGGGAAGCAGCACTCTCTTGGTAGAGAAGCTCACCTCCTTGGGGAGTGGGGCTGGCTGCTATATCACAAAGCTACAGGTGGCAAAGCTCTTTGGGAGAAGCTCTGAAGCCTGTACTTCTTTTGGGGGCAGGTTGAAGTTGAACCTGGAGAAATGCAAGTTGCAGTCATATGAGGTTATAGAGTCCCTTTCATCTGTCACCAGGCAGAAAGTGTTTTCTTTATTCCTTTCTTATTCCTTTTCTTTCTACAGCTTTATCATATTGATTTTTCTATTTTGTATAGTTTTATTGCATACTGCTCAGAGTCATTTTGGAATCAGGTGATGTCTAAATTTAATAAATTAAATTAAATTGTTCAGACTTCTCTTCACATGGGAAATGGCTCTGCAGTCAGTAGTTCTGCAGGAAAGGGTAAGAATACCCATATCCCCTCCTTTACTCCCCTGCTTCACATGGTACCCATGGCAAAAGAAGAGGAAGCGAGAATTGGGGGGGGGGGTCAAGGAAAGAAATGCAGGGGAGAAGAATGTTTCCTTGAGTGCCAATCCTTCAGTCCCAACTGCTGAATCAGACAATTACTGCTGGCAGTAATTTGCACCAAAGCAGCTTTTTCTCACTGCACTTCTCTCCTTCTCTGGCTCTCAGTGTGAACATAATGCTTTTGGAGCTAACATACTTTTGTGTCAACGGTTAACAGCATTGTGCATTAGAGTCCTAGGAAAGAGAAAGTATTATCAGCAAAAGACAACAGTGTGCATGTTTGTGTGTGTGTGTGTGTGTGAGAGAGAGAGAGAGAGACAGGGAGAGAGACAGAGAGAAATAGTCCTAGGAAAGAGAAAGTATTATCAGCAAAAGACAACAGTGTGTATGTTTGTGTGTGTGTGTGTGTGTGAGAGAGAGAGAGAGAGACAGGGAGAGAGACAGAGAGAAATAGTCCTAGGAAAGAGAAAGTATTATCAGCAAAAGACAACAGTGTGCATGTTTGTGTGTGTGTGTGTGTGTGTGTGTGAGAGAGAGAGAGAGAGAGAGGGAGAGAGACAGAGAGAAATCTAGCTTTCTTCCATTCTTGGCTTTTCCAAACAAATTGAAATTCACACAATTTGAACAAAACTGGTAAGATGATACCCCTGCTATTGCTGACTAGTAT